GTCGAAGCCCACGCATCAAAAAAAAAACTTTCCAGATTGTTGTACTCCCCATTTAATAAGCAATAAGTTTCTTTTTGATGCTTAGAAAGTTTTTTTTGATGCTTATAAAGTTTTTTTTTGATGCTTATAAAGTTTTTTTTACCCCTATCCCAACTTTTGAAGCCATGATGCTCTCCAACATGTAGGGCTTACAGGGTTTAAGGCTTTGGGTGCCCCCTCCTACTAAACAAAGTTGACCTGGACTCCGCTTTGTCTCCCTGTGACTTGAAGCCCTTAAGCCTGATAACTCCTCAGCCCTGCGCGCCTGAAACCCTAGAACCTGACCCCTTCAGCTTTAGGGTTTTGGGTTTGGGGTATTCAAAAGGGGCCCGAACTTTATGGCCACCCATGTGGGACTAGAACTGAGTCCTGGCAGGAAGACGGGTCATGCTTCTGTGACTGGGCCGCCTTCAAAAGCCCAGTTGCAGCGGCGCAAAAACAGCTTCGACATTTCCAGATGTCAGATTTAGGGTGTAGGGTTTAGGGGCTCTATATATATACACACATATGCATGTGTATATATGTAATATGTATATATATATATAAATATCGGTATAGTATCTTTCAGGGTCCTGTGTGGGCTTTTGCACAAACAGCTGTTTTCCATCATCAGCTGTCGTAACAGGCACGTTATCATGGTTCGGCCACGAATGCACTTGAAATCGTATGCACTCGTACCACGGACGTTATCATGTTTCGGCCATGGATGCTTTCGAAATCGTATGCACTCGTACCATGGCCGTTGTCATGGTTCCGCCATGGATACTTTGGTCTGAAACAGCCAGGGCTCTTAAAGAGACTATACCTATATGGATATACATATATATCCATATATACATACATATGGGCTTTGGGTGTGGGTTTAGAGGTTACATATGTTACATATATATACATACATATACAAAGAGATAGATAGGTAGATAGATAGATACATATTATGTAGGCTTTGGGTGTAGAGTTTACAGAAATTCGGTGTTCCTTTCAAGGAGCCCCTACAGCCATGGCTTCCCCTTTCCTCTCCATAGTTATCAATCCCAAAAGTACAATTCAGGGACTTATAGCTGTACCTATCACTGTTGCAAACCACCCATAACCCAGCTTACAATAGGGGTACCTCTCCTTGTATGATCAGCAGTATAGTTTTCGGGGTGCAGAAAGTTTGTGGGACTTGGCCCGCACTACTATTCCCAAATCGGAGAAATCCATATTGGAATCTGTGTTGTGACAAGAACCCCACATGGGGACCCGTATTGCAATGCAACTAGGGGAATCCCAATGTGCTTTCTTGTGGTTGTAGAGAAGGGAGTATCGGCTCTCTATGGCAAGCCCTAGATAGTCTCTTAAGGTAGTCCCTGCACCCCAAATTTCTCGAGACATATGAGCTACAGTCAATAGTTCGTACATAATTGAATGGACATGGGTTCCTTCTAAGAGAATATGTTAGGGACTATGCTAAACTATAAAAAGGACCACTACGTCCACGCTTACTGTTCCCTTAGCTCATAGGAGCTGTTGTCTAAACTCGTAGTATCCCCCTCAATATCCCCTATAGTAGTCCCCTATATAATTCCCCACATATACCCCTTCTAAGGAGTTTAGAGATCCTAAACCCTAAATCCTAAACCCCAAATCCTAAACCCTAAACCCTCTATAACCCCCTTTAAGGAGTTTAGACCCTAAACCCTACATGATCCCCTATATGAGCCCTTCGAGGACCCTGTATAACCCCGTTTAAGGAGTTTAGATTATGGCTCATATTCTCGAGCACCGTTGTTTTGCTCGCTCCGTGCGGCATACGGTCGGGTCCGAACAGCAAAGCTAGCTCTCGACTATCACGGGTTTAGGGTTTAGGGTTTGAATCCCAAAAATTGTAAAATAATGGCCTTAAATCACTAAAAACAGCCCAAATGGCTATTATTCGACATACTTTTGGGGTTTAGTCGAAACAAATGCTAGTTTCCCATACTAGGAGACCCAATATAGACCCAAAAATACTATACTCCCTATTATAGGGACCAGGTACCCCTAATTTTGGGAAACTCCCAAATCTCCAAGGGGTTTCTCGCCCTTCAAGCAGTTACAGCGATGTTTAGCATTGACATTGAGAATTCAGATTTAAGGGCTTCGGATTTGTGGCGAGAGGCTAAGCTGTCGGTCAAGATGCAATGGACAAGCCAGTTTTATGGCTTGCGTCACGTATGGAAAGCGGTGACCCAAGCGTTTTAGCTCGCGGTGCCACTGCACAATGCTGCATGCTTCTGCTCATCTTGCTGTACCCTTGTGGCAGGTTTGGCCACTTGTCCCTGATATTATACCCCAATGAATCCGATCTCAACGACATAGAACCCTACGCACTCTAGACCCGTCATTCAAAGGCGGAATCCTACGGTCATGTAAGCAAACGCTTTGTAGGCACTCGTGCACAAGATCTTATGTCATGCTCTTTCTTGAAGCCGCAGGGAGGCCCGACAAGAAGGACCACATAACGGTAATACGATTCCCATCATAAGGTCTGCAGTTTGCATCCTAGGGTCACGAGCGAAAAAAATCCTGAAATGGCCTAAACCCTAAGCCCAAAGCCTAAAGCCCTAAACCCCAAGCCTCAGGGCCAAAGTTAGAGCTTTTGGTGGCTATGAAGCATGTAGCGTATGTTGGACTGCCTGAAGAAATGCACCCTCAAAACATATGGCTTATTCTCCACAGTTATGGGCGCCTTTTGGACATGAACTACAGTATGGCACCTGAGATTTGGTAGTTTCCCTAAATAGGGAAACCCAATATACATCCCAAAATACTATAGTCCTTGTCATTGGGCCCCCCACAAAAGGTACCCCTACCTTTGGGAAACCCCCATTTAGGGCTACAAAATGGGACCATAAGTTTGGGAGCTATCCATCCCTAAACCCTAAACCCTACTCTCGCAAGGCATCCTTGTTGGATAGTCTGTAAGAGGTCAGGCAAGGGGCTGGAAGTGTCTTCAAGACATGTTTAGGGTTTAGGGTTTCGGGTTTAGAACAGTCTGTAGCATGCTTCGCCTTTTGTTTGAGAGACACTGGTAGAGAACTTGCGCGATGGCGATACCTTTTTGTGAAAGTAGGCCCAAGCTTGCATGATCTGATCCTTGGAGCCGTAATTACACCTTCAACACCCAGCAAGCTGGCTAGCTGCTTACATAAACAATTTCCCTTGTGGTGATTATATCCATTTTTTCATGCAGACACTGCACCCTAAACCCTTCCGCAAGGTTACCAAGGGAATCCAGTCAAACAGGTAGGCTCTGGTGTGGCCCTTCAGCTTAAAAGCCCCCCCTGCCCCCCCCGAACACGTGCGATGCAATGAGATCCGGCATGGTGTGGGTACTGTACTTAAACGACTGGAAAACGTTTTGGAGCGCACTGCTCTACAGTTCACCAGGGAAATTAAAGAACAACGCAGGGGAACATCTGCCAAATTATTCACGCGTCTACTCTGGACCTAGAGCCCAATATCAAGTCGGGCACGACGAAAGTCCCACAACTGAGAGCACGACAGACGACTGTCAACCCTCAAATCTCAGACCTACCCCAAACACTAAACCCTAAGCCTCAAACCCTAAATCCTAAACTAAGCAACCTTCACTCGAAGTGTTGCATACAACACTTCTACCGTAAAGACCCGACATAAAACTGAGGGTCTTTGGGATACACCCTTGACTCCTATCGGGAATTATATAGGGGACTATATAGAGCTATATAGGGCTATATACGGTTTAGGGTCTAACCTCTGTAAAGGCGGAATCTATACAGGAGACTACAATACGAGTTTTCAAGGGGATACTAGGAGGTTAGACTACAGCTCATATGAACATTTGCTTCGAACACCCCGAACCCTAAACCCGAAGCATGCGCAAGGTCTGATGTGAAACTTCGCGAGACGAATTCGCTCTGCGCCCTCCGCAGCCCCTGTAGAGTTTCTCAACACAAGGAACCCCTGTGAATCTAAGGACTTGTTGGGGATATAGGAGTCACTCTCTCGGATCTGATTTGGACTGCTTTGGATCTCCCACGATTAAGATTGGACATGTGGGAACATGTTTTGAAAGCATCAGCTAATCAAGTTGAAGGCTCGCATCAGCAGGGCATTAACAACCTTGAGTAGTAGGCGCCACCTAGGCCCTGCCAAGTAGTTCCTCGTGATGGATACCTAGCTTCGTTCCCATACTTCCCTGACAATGCAAACATGAAATCTGGCATCCCGAGGCCATAAAAGAGAGAGAGAGAGAGAGAGAGAGAGATGATTCTGTAGGTGCTTGTAGGTATTCGGCTTCTGGGGCCAGAGCTCCCTCCAACCAGGAGCGGCGGTCAGCGTTCACGACACCACGC